CTCTTTGAAAGTATCAATACCTAATCTACTTGTGATCTTTTAAATTGAGGAAACATTTCTCTCTTTTATGCTCCTTGGACACTCTTTTTCGTAAGTGCTTTACACTTATAAGTATTTGGTGGCAGTTATGGAAACAAGAATGCTGACATTAGGTTTTTGTGTCCTGAACACACTGCTTACAGTTGCATGGATGATGTGAGACTCCATTCTTGACATACCGTAGCATTAAACAGAAGCCCTTGGAAAGTATTTAAACGCTGGCTATTTTTTGAAATATTAATGTGGGTACACAAGCAATTTCTCAAATAATATTACTTTCTGTGAATACAGTCTGTATCACAGCCTGATGGAGTTTTTTTTAATAAACAATGAAGTCATGTTGTCATTTATTATTTTCCAAAGTAACTTTAATCGCTTGAAAAAAAAATCAAAGCTAAAGCCATGAGGGGAAAATTACCACCCAGTACATTCTCAGAGATTTCTTGTTCTACCTTCGTTTTTCCTTTTTGAAAGCATTTTATGATTGCAAGATGTCTGAGGGAAGGGACGAGTTGCATTCTGGGAGCTTCAAAGAGTTATGGCAAGCAACTAAAATACATGGCCTCTGTAGTCAACGAAATCTCACACCAGTATACTGTTTGCTTTATGCTTTTTGTGTTTTCTATTGTTTAAAAATGTGTTTTTAACATTTGGTGCTGTGTTGAAGAAGTATCTAGCCAGATTCTAGATTAATGTGAATACTCATTAACGTTTAAACACTGTTTGGGCTCCAAGTTCAGTATGGAAAGATAGCATAAAAATTTAAACTAAGGAAAATGCAAAATACACATATTTGAAGTTGATAAGTGCTGTTTAATCAAATACATTTTCCCCTCCTCTCTCGCCGTTTAAACTTTAAAAGCTTTGCTTAAGCAGTTTGTAAAAAAAAAAAAAATCCACACCCAATTCTGCTGTCTAGATATTTATTAAAGAATGTGGAAATTATTTATGAAACAATTACCGAAGATTTACATTTCATACGTTCCCAAGCTCTGAAACACAGGTACATAGAAAATACGCATGAAAAATGCTTGTTCACTGCAATGTGCGAAACGAGTTCCAAAATGTAACTCTGTGCTTATTTGTCCCCCCCACCCGCAAATTAATAAAATCAGTTTGTTTCCACTTGCTCTGAGGATAACCCTTCGCACCCCTCCTCTTGCCCGCACACCCATTTAGACTGGCAAGCCCATTTTCATTTTATTTCAAAGATTTTTTTTTAAGCGAAGGCAGGGGACGGCGGGGGTTGCTAAATTTATCTTCCTCCCCAGCCACGGGGATGAAGAAAACACATTTACTGCGGGCGGGGGTCTGAGGGCCTGCAAACAACTCGAGCTGGCGCCTCGGCCAGGACCGGCGCGGGCAGGCGGTAGGTCTCCAGGGAGGCCCCCGGGGGGTGGCCGCGGCCCACGGGAGATGGTGGGGGGTGACCCGGCCGCCTGCCTCTCCGCGGGGTCGGCGGACCGCGGCCCCGCGCGGGCTTTACGGCCGAGGCGGCGGCTGTGGCGCGTGTGTGGCGGCGGCGGGCGGGAGCGCGGAGGAGGTGGAAAGAAGGGGGGCGCTGTCACGGAGACTCCGGCCGCCGGAGACCCCGCCGCAGCGAGGCCACTGGGCTCCCCGGTCGCGGGGCGTGAGCGGCGCCGACCCGGGGCACCAGGGGGACCCACCGGGCGGAGGAGGGGGCCCATCTACCCTTCCGCATTTTCCTGGGTCTTTCTCCCGGGCGGTGACGTGACGTGCTGACGGCGGGCCCGTGCCGGGGAGCTGGGCCGCTTTTTGTCAGCTCCGA